GTAACCTGCACGAATATTTAACTAAGTTATTTAAATTTATATTTTTATATGGTTAGATTTATTATAATACATATAAAGATAAAAATTATGAAGTTGTAGTAATATATTTCATAAAATATTGCCACCTCACCACTGCACACTATATGTCTATCATTATTTATTTTTATTATGTTTTGTAGTATTCTTGGTTCTGACGCAGTAGCATCGTATGCCGCCTTTAAGCTGTATGATTGAGTGGACTTTTTTGTTGAGAAACATTGATTATTAATTGTCATTGTGACTTATGTGGCTCTGTTTTTGTAATTATAAGCCTATAAGTACCTATATTATTATTATTTAAATTTTAACAACACAATATTATTTATTATTTTAAAATTTAAATTGGTATTTAAAATCCTGGTATCAAGTATTTAATGTTCCGAGTATTGAATATATATTATGAGCCCCCTTAATTATATGGAAAATAAAATGTATGAACCCGTAAATTATTTTGTATTGTTGATACCTAGTATTACATTAGTTTCCTGCAATTGTATAAAAGCTCTAATAGTTTATTTAGGTTTAAAGAAATGACACAGAATGAGTAATCACCGACTGACATAATTTGTTTCAAATCAGCACGTCATTCATATAAAAGTATCGGTCAAGCTCAAATACTTATAAAATAATCTTTTTGAAAATTCAAATTTATGATTTTTAAAACCAAATTAGGTACTAATATTATAAAAATACTCAGACCTATAACTCTTGGTTAAGCCACGCGCAAAGTTAAATTTAAGAATTTTAAAATATATTTTGCACAAAGTCAATGATGTTTCAAATTTTAAGCTTTTATATCTAATAACAATTATGCTCTTCATTATGATTTACGCTTGATAGCAAAAGTATGGGTGACTAGTAGTAGGTAAAACCTACTTGCCTACATGGCTATATAACTACAAACTATAATACTATAATATTAACTAAAAACAAACTTATTGCGTATTAAAATCTCCAACAATACAGAGAAAACTTAATAAATATATTGTATGATAATCATAAGCGTGCGTACGGGGGAGGCAGCTGCCTCCCCTGTAAGATTTTTAGCTCCCACGAGATTTCCTGGTTTGTAAAATGAGTAAAGTGTTTATAATATACTGTTTTTTTACAAATATTTTCAGCCTGCAATCTCAAAATAGAAAATAATACAATTATATCGTATTAATCAGCTTTCGTATAAACCTACAGTATTAAATTGTATATAGGTATATATTAAGGTTTATTTTTAAAGAACCCTGATAAGTTAAAACTGATAAAACAGCTTCAACTGCAGTGGTTACTGGTTCGTTTTGTTACAATATCGCCTTCTCATATGGTGGCTAACCACAAATCAGCCTAAAATCCAACAAATGTATAATGAACAATAAATGTGAAGAACGAATAAAATAGTTCTTTTATTGTGATAGACAGAATATTTTTCTTAGTTTCTTCATAGCTTTAAAGTTATTTGTTACATACCATTAATCAGTGGCAACTGTAAAAGATCCTTCTCAAAACTAAATGTTGTTAAAATAAAATATTAGCCACTAGTAGTCAAGAAAAATTAGATGGTTAGATGTACTCTTAAGTCTTAAATAGGTTTATTGAACAAGATCAAGCGCATGGTGTTTATTACGAAGAGTCATAGAAGTTTTTAAAATATCAACATCAAAAGCCAAATGGAACTTTAGTGAAATTTATTATTTTAAAAGTTAGGTATTTAAATTATGTTTTCTATTTCGTTGTTTTTGAAGACATAATTATTATTAAAAAATAGGTACTTATTGAAAACTGTCTTGGCATTAGTATGTTTAGCTTAGATACTAACCGTATAGTCCGTGTAGATCAATATAAATACTATATGGTTTAATAGAACTATATAATACTACATCTATGGGGGAGGTGGAGTCCAGACTTTCTTGGACTTTCTCAGCTACGGCCTTGCCTCTATTGTAAAGAGGACCTGCTCACGATTATGATGTTAATGATCAAGTTTAACGAATGATGACAGATGAGTGTCTTATTTATCATTTATTTTTAATTTTTAATATTAGAACAATAATATAATATAATTATTATTTTGTAATTTTTTATCGTGGTATGGATGGTTTATTTATATCTAAAATTATACAAAAGCATTATTTTATTTTGCAGATATACGCTGTCTATAACCAAGTTTATGTAAACTTATTATGTTTCACTTTATTTGACTATATTTACTATTTACATTGCATTTGCATAACACGTGTTTGTGTGTGTATAATATTGTGTATATGAATAAATGCTGGTTAATGGTTATTAATGATAGAAACTAGAAGACATTTTAAACCGTATAGAGAGGAGAATATCGATACCATCGATGACGTGATAAACTTTCATGTAACATAAAGGTACTTATAATCTATGGGCTATGGTGTATAATAATATGTAGTATATAATATAGCTTTAAGACAAGCCAATTTGTCATGACAAAATGTGGGCTTACATTAATTTATGACTCTGGACTGTCAGACCCCTTCGGCGCTAACGCTCTTAATTAAACCCCGTCCCATAGCTGGCTTTTGACGATGACTTTCCTAACTGGGGTGGGTTTAATTATCAGTGTTATTAAGCCACGAAGACCGTTTCGAACACACCGTTTTGTAAAATAAACTGAAACACGATCTAAGTTTATATCATTACACAGTCATTTTTCTAATTCTTACTTATCATTTATCAATACGTACCTATGTAATATGTAATATTGTATGTATAAATGTATATGCTTGTTGGTGTACCTATAACATATTAATATGTACTTGACATATCGACATAGGTGATGGGTATTGACTATTTATGGTGGTATATATATATATATAATATCAAGTATGTACAATTATCTGTGTACGTACCTATACAACTATTAGGTAAATCTTGGCGAATCTATACAGAATATTAATCAAGAAAAACAACTAAACATTTATTTTAACAATTTATACATATTATGTATTTATGTAGGTACTAAGATTAGGATAATTATCCGCCATCTGTGGACTGCGACATCCCACATATTCTTTTGAACTGTACCCACATTTATTTTCTCTCAGTGCAAAAGTTTTCTTGCTTGAATTAATTCTTAAAATATCTCAACTAATCTTCAGTCTGTCCTTTCCTCCAATAAATAGGAGGATTCAATGTTTTGATTCTAAAATGTTAATACATTATAAATTAAGTATTAGAGACTAGAGTACATAGTATATTTTATTGTAAAGTACAAATAACCGTAATAATTATTATTACTCTTTTATTTACATTCTATAATAGTAGTAATTAAGTAATTTATTGTAATCACTGTAAAAAATTTAGCACATATTATGCTGACGTAATCAATTGAATAATAATAATAATAATAATTAATAATCAGATATTCAATTATGTACTTAACATTTTTTTTATTTTGCACTCGGAGTTAGTTAAATGTAGCTAAGTGAAGTTTGTTCGTACAGTTTTAATTGAAAAATTATCTAAAATTAGAACTGTAAAATATTACATACTAATCACTTTTTGTTTTCGTTATTGTAGCTAAAAAATTATTGAACTTCAAAATTATAATAGTTTTTAATCTGATAATATACTCTACTATACAATATATGCTTGACTATTTTGAATATATCTTAAGAGTAATATGCACAAATATGCACAAATAACAACGAAGACCTAACTTAAGATATAATTAGTATGGCTTATAGGTTAATAGGATACATATGTTAAAGTAAAGAAAAATATCAAAATAAGGTATGCACATTTTTGGGTCAGGATTAGACTGAAAAAAAAAAATTAAAATAACCTAACCTAAAATACGTATGGATTTTTATAGATGAAAAAATAAGTTGGGTTACGAAAACAGTGAAGTCGATAAAGTCGAAAGTAAATAATTAAAATTTTTAATTTTATATATTAGAAAAATTAAATGTTATAAATAATTAATAGAATATGATAAATTATTATGGAAATTGTAAATATATGCCATCATAAGTAATTTAAAAGAAAACCGGGAAATAAAATAGAAATGTTAGAAATTCTGCTATGTACATATCTATTTTTAAGCAGTTAGTATTTTATAAGAGTAGCTTTATTAATGCTAGTATGACACCTAGTTATGTCTGCCAAAAAATTATTAAATACTTATATTGTACAATTTTAGAGTAAATGAAAGTAAAAATGAAAATTGAAATATGAAATTTTTTTTGTATTTTGAATAATACCTCGTGTAAAAGATCGTAAAAATGTACCCTTGTAGGTAAACCAAGACATAAAATCGCCAATTCCTTTTTTATATAGAAGATAGGCATATTATATAATAAAGCGTGGTGACGTAGGATAACGTATATTTTTATATATAATACTTTATACTTAAATATTTTGGAGGAAAAATTAAAAAAAAACTAAATCGACACAATAATATCGAAAGCATACCGCAATCACACACTATATAGGCTATTATATTATATTTATAATATATTATACTGAGTACAATACAAAAATTATACATGGTGACGAAAAGCGTCATCCGACCGGTGGCTGAGACCGCTTTTGACAAAGACGCGCTTGGAAAAGTGGGTCATACGCGGCGGTGGCGACAACAATAATAACACAATAACATCGACGACAACGACAAGCACAAGAACAACAAGAACAAGAACAACAATAGGATAATATACGACACCTAGGCCGCGACGGCGGGTGACGAGATCGCTCTACCCGCCCATTGGCCCCTGAATCGGCGGTCGGCACACAATCGATCACCGGCGGTGGTCGCCGCTCCCGCCCAGCCACGGGATGCTGCGGCCACGTGGACCGGGTGGTGCCCGGCCATTGGCCAGGCCGTACCCGATGGGTGTCACCGTACGGTACGCCGCGGCCGGACTCCACCCTGTCCGCGGTCGCCGAAAACAACGACGACGACGACGACGACGACGACGATACCGGATACACACAAGCGCCTTACGGAGGAGGTAACCTCGCGCGCAACCAGTAGTATGACGATAAACCGCGGCGTGTATTTGAATACGGATTGGTGTGGGTAACCGTCGCGCAGTTGTGTACCGCGGTAGTGCGCGATATACCGTCGAAGTCCAGTTAGGCACGTACCGTCCGGCCGTACACTGTATATTATAATATATACCGACCGACACGCAGCTGTTAATTGTTGTTGCACCGCTTTTGTGCTAAATTACCGTCGTCGCGATCACGCGTTCCGTCCGTTAAGTTTTCGGGCGCCGAGTGCCGTGAGTTTCGAGTTTATATATTTTTGTACTTTTTGCCTATACCAGTTTCGCGCGTGCGGCAGCTACAGTGGTATGCGCCGACCCTGTCGCCACTGCAGGACGAAGTGATGTTATCGATGAACAGACCTATTATCTATCAGGTACTATCAAAAACCGAAAAATACTATTTTATATACTTTGTAGTGAGGTACTCGTAGTCCGATAGAAAATATTATAAAGTTTCTATAATGGTAGCCGCCAGCAGGAAGGTTGATAAGTGGTTGGTTACCGCTATCGTTAGTAACTGTAAGTAGTTACTAACTTACTGTGTAGGTATAGATAGGTCTTCCCACATATAATATAATATTATATACACTCACCACCATACAAAATAACGGTTTTGAGTTTTGACTGCTATAGGAAAATCTCTAGTAGAAAAAAAACAATATTATTATTTAACCAGTTCTACTTATAACTGTATTAAAAACTGAAAGGTTAGGTAGGTAATAAAATATGATAAAAGTAAAATACAATAATTATAATATCAAATACCAAATAGAACTTATAGAACCATATTACAACATATTTTGTAGATAACCGAAGCGGTGAAACATACATAGTATATGGTATACGTATAAAAGTATATTTTTTTGCATAAATTCGACCAAGGGAGGTGTTTCAAAATACCAATGCCACCCTGCAACCTACTCCACTGTTTTCGAACAATATTGTAGTCAAAGTTTATAATAATAATAATTTTAAAAAATACTCTATTTTTTCTATAACTTAATACTTATAACATATATATATATAGATAAACGATAGATTGCATTATATATAAGTGTAGACAATATGTATAATGTTTTAATATAATTTACGTCCTATGTAGGATAATATTTGTATGCCATAATCAATTTTTTTCATCGAATATCAGTAAAAAATAAATGTATTCTCCAAAACTATGTACCTCTTGTCTTATACTTATATATAAGGACCTACAACTTACACACAATCATAATATTATATATATTAAAATGTATGTATTTTTAAAAGTAGCTTGGGAAAGTTAACCATTTATTTTAACTAAAGTTAATTAAAGTTGAACCTACTAAAACAAGTGAAATAAGTTAAAGTTATCTAAAAACATAAATTCATTTAAGTAAGTAAAAGTTAAGTTCAACATTTTTAAGGAAACAGGTTAAGTTGAAAGTCACTTTTTTAAAACTGCTGTCCTTTATGTTTTGTACTTACTGGAAAATAGTTGAGTTTTGTTGAAGGTATAGCTTAACGACGAGCATATCTCAGCTTTAAAAAAAACCAATATGTGTCCTAGCACTGAAATCACGCATCTTCAATAACTATAAATAAATAGTTATGCAGGTTTGAACATATTTTTTTTCAAATTACTCTAACAGGTTATTTACCTGTAGGTGCTAATATAATAAACAGTATTGCTTGTGTTGATGTGGTAGTACCTAAACCTAAAGTATTTTTAAATATTTATAATAAAACAAAACATTAATAATAAATATATAATTACTTGCTATTATTTAATATTTAATTATAATTTATAATTCAAGAAATCATAGGTAGATACTTAGAAAAAAACCTATTGATATATTATAAATTGGGAAATCAAGCTAACCTAACTAGTATGTTATGTGATACATAGTATCAGCAAAGTTCGTTATACAATTTGTGTTACAGTTACGCTATTTATGTATACATAGTACGGAAGAATCCACTTATTACGATGCCGTATATTCTTTACTGCAGTTTGTTTACCACCAAAAATATTAGTCTAGTTGCGTTTATGATCTCATCTACAGTATGTTTTTGTCATCTGTATACTAGAACGATAACCTAACGAAATTCGGGTACAATGATCTGATTCTCTAGGGCACTAGAAGACCGCTATGAGCGAATTCTACTGTTTATATTATGTTTAATACATTAATCTATTCAGTTGCTTACCATAGATTTTACATAAAACACAAAATTTAAATAAAACATACATAAATCATAATATATGATGGGTATTATTGTAGCATAAGGCGTAACACACAATATTTTAAAACAATTTTTGCTACTCATAAGCTTACTGCCATGCACTATATTTAACTACAGTAACATATTATGGTATATTGGTGTGAAAATGGATTGAAAAAAAATGTACTTATATTATTTTTTCCTTGAAAAAAAAATCAAAATTTCACTTGTTCCATTAGTTTTGCAGGCATGTTTTACAACTAAACTTTTCTATTAAAAAAGTTTTCCGAAAACTGTCAAAACTCGAAAAGAAACAGACATTGTCAATGTGTTTATTATATACTTGGTTCAATATTTGTCGCATTCCAGTCAACAGATAAACATCACCTTGATATACATCAACTTCAAAAAGACATATTGTAATTCAGTTACAGTCGATTTCACTCTATGCACACGAAAAATCTGACATTTGTTAGGATAGTAAATTTGTCTCTGAAGGTACATGAAAATGTATGTACCTATACACGTTTCACTATACCACTCTATTACTCAAAAGATACCTGCAATAGTCGAATCGGTTAAAAAAATTAATACAAATCGCATCTATAGGTACAAAATATTATTGTTTTTAACTACCTACCTATATTATACGTATTGTTAAAATATATCAATCTCATAACCCAGAAACTAGCAAGGTATATTAAAGATCTGTCTAATGTTTATAAAATATTAACGATGTATATTATATATTTATGTTTAAAATTAAAGTTATAATCATTGCGACCGTGAATTGTACAACAATTATTATTGATTTTTTTTTTAATGCTAATATATTTGGTAGGTTATATATATGTTGCGGTAAAAGTAAGAATACCTTAATGGCTTAATATATATATATATTACAATCTATATATAGATATCAAGATTGTAATACACCGGGTACTTATACTTGTTGAGTCTATTATGCGTAATTAAATTATCATAAATTTACAAAAATAAGATTTACTTAGTATACAACTTACCTTAAAAGCGTTGACACATAAATAAAATTATAATTTAGTACTAATATCAATATTTACATATCAATCGTTTAATGATAAACGTCTTGACATAATATTATTAAGTGAGTACATGTACATAACTACATACAAAATTACAAATTAGTAGTAAGTACGTGTATAATATTGGAATAGGCACTATAAAGTAAGTGTACATGTATTATAAGAATTACATTTCCATTTGATTAAAAATGATATTACAGTTCTAAAAATAATGGCAGCCATATAGTTTCCAGTTGAGACATTTATTTAAAATATCGTTTTAAAGAAAAACTAGATACGTATTAGCTACCTACTAATTTGAATGATTAAGAATATTACTTCATAATATTATACATTATTAATATGATAATAAGTGATTGACGATTAGTATTGATGTTGGCATCTAATACTTATATACCAGATATTTGAATAAATTGATTTTACAAATAAAACATTACATGATTAAGTTGAAACAAATTTATATCATTTTATATGGAACATATAAAATAAAGAAAATAAAGAAAATATATAACAGTTAACGATGTGTGGCCTGTAATATGTATATTATTATTTATCATTTATGTGGGTAGGTACTAATGGTATTGGTATATAATATGTACTAACAACAATTATGCAATAAATAATTAAAACCAAAACAAAAATTAACCCTTTCTTAATGGCCTATATATTTATATCGATCGTTTTATACAGCTGCGGCTGATTAAATTACTATGTTAAATGTAGACGCATAAATTAACTATGTATAAATTAAGATATTGTCATGCTTAAATACAGCAAAGTTATCGATAAAAACATCTTAATGAATTTGTAATCTTTCAAATTAAAACTTCATTGAAATAAAAAATTCTAAATTAATACTGTGTTGAGGAATTATTAGGAGAAATCAAAAATATATTTGATTCCTTTCACTAATAAAAACTTAATAAAAATGTATATTATATACAGAAACAAAAATATGAATTAATGATTTTATATTGTATATTTTATATTGTATTTGAAAATACAACTTGGCAGCAAGTACTATTAGTTAAAGGTCTTGGATACTATTTACAATTTATAATTATCGTGGAGCTTACATTATGAAACATTAATTTAACAATTACAATTATACTTTGTCTAAAAGGTTAGTTAATTTTAAAAATATGAACATTTTTCTGTTTTGATCCGTGTATGGTCCAAGGATTTTGTTAAGAGTTTTGTTCAAACTAAGATTTGTCCGTTCTTATTCGTAAAATAAATAACTATAAATTATAATGACATATATTTATTTTTTCTTCTTTAATATTTTAAATATATTATTATATTTTAATTTTATTGTCTCGAGTAATATTTACATTTTAGTTTTGAGAATTTAAAAAGGATCTTAGAATTTATATTGAAGAGAGATTATTATTGTTGTAGGTGGTAATAACACGAGGCAGAGATCTACTGTAACATCGTGTTCAACATAATAATATATTATTCAATATGTTTAATTATATAATTCTGGAACAAAATTTAAATTTAAGTATAAAAAGGCCTAAAATTCTTAAAAATGAAAAAAGTTCTAATTATAAATAATGTGAAATTGAATTCGGTATAGCCATATAGGTACTTGTTTGTGCAATCAGATCTGTAAAAAACGAGTAATCGTAAAGTTTCTCTATTATCTACAACAAGAAAAAAATTCTAAGTACAGAATTGGACTCCTAGCCGTTTAGCCCAATGATTAATGTAATAATGGTTTAATGTATACAATTTAATATTTTATTATATATCATATTATATGCTCGCTGTTGTATACGTTTGCAGACGACAAACATGGGAATGCACAACAACACGTGCGGCGGCGGCGCTGTCAGCGGCGGCGTCGGTGTTAGCGGCAGTGGCGACATGATGTCGTACGCTACGCACACGCCGGCAACAGCCGACGATTATTACGGCGGTGCCAGCGGTCTGGTGGCCGACTACGACCTGCCGCAATGTCTGGGCGGCCGGCCGTCGCTGGAACCGGCGTACGCGGCCGAGTGTGGCGTTTACTACGAGAAGAACGCGTCGGCAGCAGATTACCGGTCGTATTACGGGGGTGGCGGCGGCGACGGTGCTTACGATCAGCTGGCGGTCGACGTAGGCGGTGGTAGTTACCATGCCCAACACCAACACCACCACCATCACCACCAGCACCACCACCAACACGGCCATCACAATCACCAACACCCGTTGCAGTCAGCCGAAGCGGCCGTCATCATTACGTCGTCGGACGGTCTGAGCTACACAAACTTGGACTGTAATGGCATCGCGGCCGCCGTGCATGGTCAAGACTACGGCGCGTATTCGGACGACGGCGGGGGTGGCGGTGGCGGTTACAACGGTTACGGTGGTCATCATCGGGACGACAACGCTGTCCGCAACGAGTCGTATTGTGGTGGCGTCGGTGCGTCCGTGGACAATGCGTTCTTCAACATGCACCTGAACCACAACAACGAACACTCGGCCACCGGACGACAGGCAGTGCAGCAGCCGCGGCCACCATCCGCGCAACCTCCACCACCGCCAGTTCAGTCGTCCGCTCAGACCACAGCCACCGTGGCTACGGCCCCGCTACAGCTGCAGCCCGCCCCGACACCAGGCGACGACCGTTGTCCACGCGTTATCAAGCAGGAGGCGTCCTCTGGTGGCCAGTGTTATGGTGGCCGAGACGGCACATCACCGTACAGTGACGACGCGTCCACATACCGCACCTCGTTAATAGTTGGTCAACCGCAGCAACACGTCCAACAGCAACAGCAACATCACCACCACCTCCACCACCAACAGCAGCAGCAGCAGCAGCAGCATCACCACCACCACCACCACCAAACACAACAGCAGCAGCAGCAGCAGCAACAACATTGTGGCCGGCAAAACATTAGTGCTCAGCAAAAGCACGGAGCCGCCGCCGTCGCAGCCTCACCTGCCGTTCAGACGGCGGTGCCCACTTATAAGTGGATGCAAGTCAAACGAAATGTTCCTAAACCAGCTGGTAAGTGTTTTTTGTTACAAAATTATGAATGTGGTATATATTATATTAAACATCCACACTATTACACAAATGCTTGATCATTATTAAAATGTCAGTGATTTTTAAATTGTTTCGCTAACTGTTCCGCTGTTATGTAAGTGGGTCACAGCCCCTAGAACAAAATACAGGGGGAGGCTCTGTCCGGATTTTCCTAAGAATTAACTCACCACTGGTTGTCACAATACGTCAATACGACTAAGATACGTTAAGACATTTTAAGATCGTTCAATAAAAGTTAATAATTATTACCTATCACTTATAATGGCCCAGAATTATAGGACGAAAAGTGGGGTGTTATAATTTCATGCATAATATTATATACATTGACTAACGAAAGGTATTTAATACATTCAAGCAGTATACACGTATACAAAAGATAAATGAAAAAAAATAGATGAAATAGTTGATTACATGGTTTTTTAATATTTTAAGATCATTAGTGAATACAATACATATAACTACAAATCTCTGCAGAATCTTAATATTATTATAACCAAAACAAGATTAAAATAAATAATAATCAGTCAACTTTTGATGTCTCAAAATCTAAAATATTCTCTTTAAAATTACCGCAAGGTTATTTAAACAACAGTTTATGCAAATTACTTCGTTGTGAATTGCATAATTTATTTTTACCATTTTCACGGGCTTATTTTGTTTTTCATTTTTAAAATGCATAATGTTTATTTTTGATCTATTGCAGATAGGTCGTAAATGAATCGTGTAAAATGATACGATCAGAATAATATGCAATAATTTACTTATGTTGTCATTCTTGAATTTTGGTAAAAAAAAAAAAAAATAGAATTAAACTTAAGTGATTCTGCGGATAAAGCGAAAGGGGTCCAATGTATAGCAGTAAGTAAATGAATAGGTACTATCTATAATCATTATTATATAGTGGTATTATGCTCTTATCCCCTAGACACACGTTGCCTATTATAATAATATACATAATACCTATAATAGTATATGTATAACCTATATAATATGTGTTGTGGATATTGTATATGTCTCTACACATAGGGTCGGACTTTACGCAATCAAATATCCATTTCACGGTAAAATACTCATCGGCAGCTAAACACATACAAAACGGTGGCCCGTGTAATTCGATACGCCTCGTATATAATATTATGTCTCGTGCATATAGGTACTATAGATATCTGGTATACCTACACGTACACGTATTTCGTATTTCCCTTTGTATATAATATAATATTATCATAGACGTCAATATAATTTTACTATTTATAAAACGCATTAAGCGATGACCACCCCTACTGGCATCCACAAAATATATACCGTATATTACATTATTATACGTCGCTACTGTTATTGCGATTGACGCGTACACGTATAGTATGTACCATCTATTAATGCGAGCAGTCTGATAAATGGATGGTATACGAATGTACCATTTATCGCACCGACTACCGACGATATTGTACGTAATATATATATATATATATTATAATATCATACCATTAAATACTACAGTATCATAGACAATCATATTATTATAGAATTATGTAGATCTATGAATTTACAACTATACGAGTACGGTACGGTAGTGTAACGGAGTGATGACATCGCCACTTACGCCGTGCACATAGGAAATCCTCGTGGAGCACTTGTTGTTTCAAACAATGCAAAACGGTACGTCGTATTAACTATGTACAGATTAAATATCTTGAATACAGAGTGTTGGACATGGGGTTAGGTTGTTTTTGGGTTAAGTCTTAATAACATTTATGCATACATTATACTTCGTAATTTGCTACCCCGTGACTATAATATGAGTAGTACCTATGTATTTATAAGAATGATTACATTTGGGTATTTGCTGACATAACATACGTAGGTATCAGCGATATCACGATAATTTCAGTCTTTTAGCATCATGTCAGAGTAGCTAATTGTAATGAATATATTTTATGGGCAAAATACGTTTAGTTCCGTAGTAGAAAAAATCATATAAAAAACAAATATAACAAGTCGCTTAGATTAATTTTCTTTCGTGAAATTTGAAAATAATCAATTTTTTGAAGTGAAACTTTTTTAGGCACGATAGAATAAATCGGATTCATGGGCTCAGTTGTTGTGACCAAAAGCTTACTCGATACTAAGGGTCTGATCTAACGATCGGATTTTGTTAGCCGGTCGCCGTGTTCCTCTTAGTACGGTAAATATGCCGGAGGCGGCGAACTGGGTCAATTGTTGGTATACTCAGTTGCAACTTAGTTATTACATTGTACCAAAAAAAACAAAAGTAGTGTCCAACCACAGTGCGATTTGATCGACACAACACAATACACGACGTCTGTGAATTCGGCTTAAAAGGGCTTACAACTCATCGTGTCGTGTCTTGGTCCGTATATTTAATACATAGTTAACGTGTGACCAACGTTTTGTTACCTATGTATTAAATATACGGAACACGACACAACACAGTGCGTTGTGAACCACCCTAAACTCTGTAGGTATATAAAAAACCAGACGGCAGATGCCGGTCGGCAAAATCTAGTCATCTGGATCTTAGAGTAATTAAACTAAGTTAGGTTAATGTATAATAATACTAAATTAATTTCAATTGAAAATTTTATTTTTTATTTTTTCATTACAAACATACAGGATATTCGAAAAGTATGGGTCGTTCGCTTATATTTCAAAATCGACAAGTCGTAACACGTTTAAACTTGTGCATACCTGTACATGCACTACTCGCGCAGTTATTTCAAGCGTTGTTTTGATTCAGTAGTAATTTTCCTAGTTGTGCGTACAGTAGACAATGTCCGCGATAATCGTTGTTCCCACCAGCAGTGAAATTCACGCTGTAATAAGATTTTTGTGTGCAAAAGGATCTTCAACTGCTGAAATTCATCAAGAGTTATACCTAGTTTATAGACCTACTGTAATGAGTGAAGGAAAGGTTAGACAATGGTGTCGTAATTTCAAAAATGGACGAACAAATGTTCATTACGAAGAGCGGAGTGGTAGGCCCAGTATGCAAACTGATAAAATTGTTTCTTTCGTGGACCAAAAACTGCGATCTGATCTTCGGTTGACGATTAGTGCCCTGGCTGATGAATTTACTAACCTTGGACGCACTACTGTCTACACAATTGTCACGGAAAATCTTGGATACCACAAATTGACTAGAGAAACAATTGCATCAGTTTGCATACTGGGTCTACCACTCCGCTCTTCGTCATGAACATTTACTAAATATATTTATATTTCTCATATAACCGATTGCACTGATATCACTATAAACAAATATTTCAGATACACTGATATCCTATAAACAAATATTTCCTTCGTAAATCTTAAAATCCCTGTTTGAGCAACTTCCCGAGTTGGACCTATCGGGTCCAATTGTGAATCTAAACCATCCAGGGCGTCACCCAAACGCATACAAAAAAAATGTATTCGAATCGGTCCAGCCGTTTAGGAGAAATTCAATGACATCATACACACGTTCAGTAGAATTATATACATAAAGATATATATATATAATATATACATAATATAGCTGCTATAAGCTGCTATATAAATGCTAATGATTATATTATTATTACTTTTTTTTTTTTATTTAAATAACCCTCGGAATTGTGGCCGCCATTGAAGATCGCTACATTTGTTATGATTTAAAAATTTTTTTTATGAAATACATAGGTTAGGTTACAAGAATAAAATAATATTATTTTAATGTTTGTATTTTGTTTTTCGGAAAGCGTACTATTATGAACACCATTTAAGAATTTGATATTCATATACATTATTATTTCAATTATTAACGTGGGAACTTTTTTCATTAACCCTATCCTGCGGGCCTGTATATATAACATACAACATAAAGCCACGGTGGTACATCATGGTGATATATCGTCGTAATTTCGGAAATGAAGTTAGATAAACTACGGTGACGATTCGAATAATGGAGATATCGTAGGTTCATTATGTCACAATATTGTAACCTCACACCTTTTCCCGACAAACACGTTTCCGATCACCTTTCAAAACCGTATATTTTAATAATATACGGGTCAGTGATCAGTGATACAAACGATACAGTGTTACAAAATTGTTGTAATAATTTCGGTAAAATCGAATAGTTGTAAAATTTTCATCTTATTTCTCTAACATGAAATAATTCTAATCACCCTGTGTGTATGACCAATGTAAAAAAAAACATACACTTGTACGTACTATAACAAATAATAATGCTTTATGAAAATATTTTCGATACCTGCCGGCCGCCGCCGTACATTATATTTTAATAACAAATATATATATATATATATATATGCATCTACCTTTGTGGAAAAGAATGTCGCACCACGTGACACGTCCGCTGTTATATTATGCTTATATATTATTATTATGTATATAATACCATATGGCATATAATATATAGCTGTAATAGGCCGCTATATGAGACCGCTTGCGCGAGTTGGGTCGCGGAGAGCTCGATGCCCGTTCTCGGCGGGACATTCTCGCGGATATATAATGTAATAATATTATTATTATCATCGTACAAAACGATTTTTTCCCCCAGCGATCTCATCGTCGTTATCCTCCTCCTCCACCACTTGTCACGCGTTATTTCACCGGCATACCTGCCGCAGTGTAAGACGTGTGTGTATATACAATGTATATATATATATATTATATATACAGTATACACTTATATTATGATGTGCATACCACAGGCGGTGACTATTTATATGACGTGAGCCGATTTTCACAATGAAATGGCTTAATTTTCTACGTTTCACGTATTATTTTTATCAGGACGAACACATATAAAAAATGATCATAGTCCGCTGTCAAAACAATTTGATTTAATTTTAAACGTCAATATAGAATATGTATGGGTGGGTGTGCACTGTGCAATACGTTATTATAATATACATATACACTATTATACAGAGATTAAGCGAGACTAATATATTTAT